CGAGGACGCGAGGAAAGACACCAGGTCGGAGATGTCCGTCAAGTCGCTAATCGGCCCGGTTAGATCACAGCTGTTTGATCATTCGGAGCGACTGACCCAAAGCGGCCCATAGGGATCATCTTACGCATCTGGCGATAATTTCTGTCAGATGAGGCCCAGGTTCGGGTCCAAAATGAAAGACATTACAAATTCGGTCCACTCCTCGACGGATGTGCCAGTATCTTGCGGGCTGTCGGAAGCAAGAGATTGCACTGGTGAGGTAATTCACCCATCAGAGAACCGGCGATTACCGGCGGAACGTACTCAGTTCACTATTGAGCGGTCCCGGGGCATATGCATTCACGGTGATGCCGTGTTTTCCTAGTTCCTGGGCTTGAATGCAGCGAGTGAATTTGACAGATTGGGGCTGTGATGGCATGCTCACCTGTTGCCTGTGTCAGGCCCATCACCGCGAACTTGCTAGCGCAATACGCCGGCAGAAAGGGGAAGCCTATTCGGTCTGTCAACGCCAACTGACACCTATTCGTGCATCAGAACTTGCCCATCTTTCCTGCAACAGATGAGGCGCCGATTATCCGTCCTCCGCGGCCCTGGGCAACCATCTGGCGACCAGCGTATTTGTAGCACAGGAAAGTTCCACGAATGTTAACGGCCATGACACGGTCCCATTCTGTCGCATCGACTAGAACGCGGATGAATTTCCCTCCAAACACGATGTTTGGAAAGGTGCTACCTTTGAGAATCGAGCCCCATGGAGCCACTCCAGCGTTCGCGACCATCTTCCAGCCGAGATTTCAGACAAATATGTGTGAGGATGGAGAGAAATGTTTAGTACCACATCGAGTCCTCCGTGCACGTCGACGACCTCCTCGACCATCGCTTTGACCTGGGATTCTGCAGTGACATCGGCAACGTGCGAAGTACACAAGCGGCCCTTATGTCCGATCTCAGCAGCGACCTTCGCGAGACTGGGGCCTTGGGACGCGAGGTCGTTGAGCGCGACGTCGAACCCATCGCTGGCCAAGCGCCTCGCGATTTCGCGCCCGATGCCCTGGGCTTGTCAGACTCAGATGGGTGTGGCGGAGAAGGTATAATATGTGTAGAAGGAAACAGACCTGCGCCGGTGACTAGAGCAATTTTCCTTGCAGCCATTGCGAAGTGCAGGGAGGTGAGTGAATGCGGGAAGGTGATGCTTGGGACCTGAGGACCGAGATTTCGAGGATTTAAAGCATACTCGACAGGACGTCGAGACCGCCGATGGGTAAGTAGCTGTCATGTGTCCAGTTGGCGGGATGCCATCTCCCTGGCCAGTGGCGAATTGACGGCTCTTCGTTCCCGTAGCCAGGGAATCACAGACCGGGAAAAGTCACGGTGAGACTGGAAGGATTCTCCGGCTTTCGTTTCCTTTTCCCAAAATGATCGGACATGACCATACATCACATGCCGAGATTGAGTGACAAAGCGGCGAGCTCTCAGAAGAGATGTGAGTTGGCCAACGGAGAGAGATTCAATCGAGAGGGAAGGACATCCAGAAGTGACATCACCCCAGGGACCTCCAATTATTACGTAAAATGGCTTCGAGGCCCCCTCCGGAGGCCATCAAACCACCCCCTACCCCCCCTGATCGGAGGCCATCCTGGAGGCGCCTTCCTAATTGGTACTCTGCCCAGCCATTCATCCACAGCCAGCATGGTAGGCTAGGCATTGACCCGAGTGTTTATATGTGCTGTAGTAGTCAGTATAAAGCCTCATACAATGTCTTAGCTCACAAAAGCTTGTATTTCTTGCTTGCAAATGGCAGACCACTGGGCACACAAAATTTGGGATTTGAGCACATGAGCACTCCTCAGGTGCATAGAGCAGCAGTATATATATTAATTCGAGATTGAGCATGAGGTAGCTGTGCCCACACGCAAAAATGAGATGTTGCTGAAGGGATGGTTTATGGCCTCCACAACCTCCCAGGGGCAGAAAAAAAGGTGTTGGGTAGCCCACAGGCCCTTGAATTCTGCTTCAATAGATCAATTTGACGTTTGTCAAAACAACAGCCCAGGATATCAATTGGATGCTGGAGCAGTGACAGAACAAGCCTCCACCGCCTCCAGGGCTGGGGACCAAAAGCGGTTATTGTAGATTCAGCCACATAAACCATATTTCTGATCTTGTTTGTCCTAGTTGGAATGTCTGGGTATTCAAGAGAGACAGGTGGCTACATAGATCAGATGCTAGCACCAATAGCAGAACTGGCCTCCATGGCCTCCACAGCCAGTGACCAAAAGCGTTTTTTTGGGTTCAGCCACATAAACCATGTCCATGATGTTGAAGGTCTTCCTTATAATTATGAGGGTCCTTTAGTTAAATGTCTCACCACATGAATCAGATGCTGGAGCAAATGGCAGAACTGGCCTCCGCTGCCTCCACAGGTTATCACTTGAAGAGTCTGAATGAGATGACAATGTAACAGATATATATTCTCCTGGCTGACCACATTCTGTCATTTTCACCTCTACATGCTAGTTTAATTGCTGCAGAATGTTAAAATTAGAGGATGGGAGACCCTGGAGGCACTGGAGGCACATGCAAGATCCAATCAATGTCATCAATATCATCAATGCCATCAATAGCATCAAGAGCATCACCGATCATTGGTATATTGATCAGCCAATCAGATGATGAATAAACATCGAACATCTAGTATATTCACTCCTGAGAGACACAGACTACATGTATGCTCATACTGAAAGTGGATTAGTGGTCCCAGGACATGCCCCAATGACATATTGCATGCTTGTATCAGGGACATATGATTAAAAATCGGAGTTGGCAAATGAGCTGAAAGTACTCCACTGTACCACTCATCTTCAGTTGACTTTCAGCTCATTTGCCAACTCCGATTTTTAATCATATGTCCCTGATACAAGCATGCAATATGTCATTGGGGCATGTCCTGGGACCACTAATCCACTTTCAGTATGAGCATACATGTAGTCTGTGTCTCTCAGGAGTGAATATACTAGATGTTCGATGTTTATTCATCATCTGATTGGCTGATCAATATACCAATGATCGGTGATGCTCTTGATGCTATTGATGGCATTGATGATATTGATGACATTGATTGGATCTTGCATGTGCCTCCAGTGCCTCCAGGGTCTCCCATCCTCTAATTTTAACATTCTGCAGCAATTAAACTAGCATGTAGAGGTGAAAATGACAGAATGTGGTCAGCCAGGAGAATATATATCTGTTACATTGTCATCTCATTCAGACTCTTCAAGTGATAACCTGTGGAGGCAGCGGAGGCCAGTTCTGCCATTTGCTCCAGCATCTGATTCATGTGGTGAGACATTTAACTAAAGGACCCTCATAATTATAAGGAAGACCTTCAACATCATGGACATGGTTTATGTGGCTGAACCCAAAAAAACGCTTTTGGTCACTGGCTGTGGAGGCCATGGAGGCCAGTTCTGCTATTGGTGCTAGCATCTGATCTATGTAGCCACCTGTCTCTCTTGAATACCCAGACATTCCAACTAGGACAAACAAGATCAGAAATATGGTTTATGTGGCTGAATCTACAATAACCGCTTTTGGTCCCCAGCCCTGGAGGCGGTGGAGGCTTGTTCTGTCACTGCTCCAGCATCCAATTGATATCCTGGGCTGTTGTTTTGACAAACGTCAAATTGATCTATTGAAGCAGAATTCAAGGGCCTGTGGGCTACCCAACACCTTTTTTTCTGCCCCTGGGAGGTTGTGGAGGCCATAAACCATCCCTTCAGCAACATCTCATTTTTGCGTGTGGGCACAGCTACCTCATGCTCAATCTCGAATTAATATATATACTGCTGCTCTATGCACCTGAGGAGTGCTCATGTGCTCAAATCCCAAATTTTGTGTGCCCAGTGGTCTGCCATTTGCAAGCAAGAAATACAAGCTTTTGTGAGCTAAGACATTGTATGAGGCTTTATACTGACTACTACAGCACATATAAACACTCAGGTCAATGCCTAGCCTACCATGCTGGCTGTGGATGAATGGCTGGGCAGAGTACCAATTAGGAAGGCGCCTCCAGGATGGCCTCCGATCAGGGGGGGTAGGGGGTGGTTTGATGGCCTCCGGAGGGGGCCTCGAAGCCATTTTACGTAATAATTGGAGGTCCCTGGGGTGAGTGACATCCAGAAGTGAAGACAAAATCGGATTTACGGAATATCGGTGAGAAAGACAGACAGAAGCTGCCAGTATGGATAAGAAGCAGCAGCAAGCAGCAGGATACGGATCGTGCTGTGGATCCGTTGTGAAAAGAACAAGGCGAGTCAGGCCCTGTCCCGGCGAAGCGGTGCCGCATCAGTCACGATTCGCGGACGTAAACAGCCGAGACGCGTCTTGCTCATCATCTACTCACACAACTTGCCTTTCTCGTTTGTCACTCGCGTCGAGCATGCCCGTCACTCTCGTCACCTCCGATAACGAGTCCTTCGTCACCCAGAAGGAGATCGTGGAGCGCAGCGTGCTCATCAAGAACATGCTGGAAGGTGCGTAGTACCGCGGCGGTAGCAAGCAGTTCCCCAGGGCTTACTACGATGATGCCGAATGTAGACGTCGGCGAGTCCGACCAACCCATTCCGCTCCCCAACGTGTCCTCCAGTGTCCTCAAGAAGGTAGGGTCGCACGACTGCGCGCGATAGGCATCGGGGCTGGCTGACTGCCTGGTCTAGGTTCTAGAGTACTGCGAGCACCACAAGGGCGAGCCCCTCCCCGCGCCTGAATCCGAGTCGTCTCAGGACGATACGCGGAAACGGACGACCGATATCTCGGAGTGGGACCAGAAGTTCATCAACGTCGACCAAGACTTCGAGATCATCCTGGCCGCCAACTACCTGGACATCAAGCCGCTTCTGTAGGCCGCCCGCATCCCCCGTGTCTGACCACCGCGCTCATCGTCGTGATCTCTGACCTGCAGTGATGTCGGCTGCAAGACGGTCGCGAATATGATCAAAGGCAAGACGCCGGAGGAGATCCGCAAACTCTTCAACATCGTCAACGACTTCACGCCGGAGGAGGAAGCTCAGATCAAGAAGGAGAATGTATGTGGACGTAACCTCTACTCGAGGTCGTTGCTGAACTATCCGCCAGGAATGGGCTGAGGACAGGTAGATATGGGTCGCACGTTTTTGCTCGAAGCCGCGAAGACGATACAGAGGAACACACTGTTTTACACCTTGTACATGTTGATCAACGTCTTGCACGATATTCAGCCTTATCTCGCGCGACATCATTCGAGATTGCAATTGGATCTGCTCTTCTTTGTGTATACCAGAGTACTTAGTGCTCTGACGACGGTCCCGTCGCCGGGCTTGAGCTCGGAAGCAATACTGGCAGCGGTGCCACTGGTGCACCTCGTTCTCGGGCAGAAAGGTCTCCTATTATTCAATCCACACACATATCGACGTGTATTTCCTAGTGTCGGCAGCTTCGACATTGCCTTGGCATTCAAGTCCTCACAGATCACATGATCGCGTTGTGTCGCTTGTCCTGCCGCAATCTTCCACTTCAGTCTCCCAGTGCCACAATGCGAGAATCCGCAATCTGTCTTGTTCTGCTCCCCAGCATATCGTGATATCCGCCCGAAGCAGAACATTCATTGAGTGGCCGCCCGCGGAACAACGAGACCTCACTTCCCCCTCTTGCGCGCGGATGTACTGTGTCTGAGACCGTTGGTGCTACTTAAGACTGCTGGGGACCGGGCGGAGTCTGTGTCAGCTCTCACTCTCAGCATATACAGCACCATCATGACCACCGAAGAATATGGGTAGGTGTCTACAGCGTTGTCTCCTGTTCCCCGATGCTCATGATCTCAGCTCACTCGTGCCGGCTGTCTGCGTCAACCTGTTGTTGTACACACTCGAATTCGTGATGGCCTGCGTCTTCCTCTCGCGTCGGGCGAAGGAGGGCGCTGGTGCGTTCGACAAGTTCCGGACTGTCCTCACTCTGCTGCTCGATACTGCGTGCACTTTAGCCGGTTGCGTCTTCCTCTACTTTGTGCGTCGCATGCCCTTTTGATGAGATGGTACTGTTCGCTGATATCGTCCTTTCCGTTAGTGGCAAGACACTCACTGGGGTACTGTTCTCTACACTGTTTCCGGCATGTGGACTGACACACTACGCAGGGGATAACGACGAGGTGCAAGGCCGGTTCTGGAAGCTCCTCATCGGCACTCTGGTCTTGGGCACTGCCTCGACTGCCATCGCCCAGTCTTACCTCCTGCAAAAGTTCTGGACCAAGTGAGTGCTCCCCTCCGTGGCGTGGTCTTTGCTCAATCAGGGTCAAGTATCCCGAACCATCTCATCGGCACGGCCCTGATTGTCTCACTTCTGGTTGTGGTACGTCTTCTCTGCACTGTTGCGAGGCCCCTGTCTCATGCATTACAGACACTTCTTGGGTCCGTCGCCTCCGTGGCGGTTTGCGCATACATGCAGTGGACCAATGCAGAGCAACTCGTCCCGTTCATCTGGTGAGCGGTTTGTACAACCAGTGGTGGTTGAGGCGCGCTAACGAGAATGATAGGACTGCGCTCATCGCTAGTCTCGTCACGGCGTTCGGCATAACGTCGATCTCCGTTTGCCAACGCATCGCCGTCAAGTCTGTGGCCAAGAGAAAGTGAGTTCAGGGGCCCGTTCTAGGCTTTCGTTCTGACTTCTGTCAGCTTCATCGTCCGCGGCTGGAAAGCATTTGTCAGCACTGGGATGCCGGGTAGCATCATTTGCATCCTCGCTCTGGTTGCGTGGGTTATGGGAAAGCACACCACCTGTGCGTTCGTCTCATCTCCATCTCCCATCCCCCCTAACGCAGGCGGTAGACACCATCGCGCTCTACTTCGTTCTTGCCCGGGTGTACTCGTGCACGATGCTCTTCACCATGCACTATCCACTTCCGATCCGCAAGTCGATGATCCAAGATCTGGTCAATACGTCCGTCGCCCAAGGCACTTTGCCTCTCACCGGTAGGTACCTGGATCTTCCTTTCCGGTGACTCAGTACTGACGGTTCCATAGTCAGTTCCCCTTCCCCGGATATCTTTCTCAAGTCCGAAAGGGGCACCCAGCCCAAGGAGGGAAACGTGCAGTCTTGGTACAACATTGACCTGGGTGATGGGGCGATGCGCACCAGCCGTAGTGCACCGGAGAACATCAATGGTGACCAGCAGGATGTGAACCGCAGAAATGCAGCCGTGTATCAGAAGCGTTGAGGTCGGTAGCGTGTCATTCTGTTTGGGATCGTTGGTCTTCGTCTTTTTTGTACCCCATTGCGGATGTTTTCGTTCTCGTCATCCATAACACGCACCATATCTGAGCCAGTTACGAGTGAGCGTCATGAGGATTCTCCGTTGCTTTGCTACGGCGTTTCCGAGGTACAGACACCCTCAACTATCGGTGATCTCAATCGGAATGATCCAGTGACACGAGAGCGACAGTCTGTGCCATCACGCTGTCTCTGTCGGTCCCAATATGACCCTTCAACGGGTTTCTCACAACATCTGCACGCCTAAAAAGGCAACTATGCCCTGATATAGCTTTGTCCATAAATAACCACTCGCCAATTGCAGATCGTATCTCATCACCCGTCGCCTGCATTTACCTGTAAAGATAAAAAGCTAGGTCTGTTCGCTCACTACAACCAGAAGCGGTAATCGCAATCCACATGCATCGGGCGGCGGACCGCTGCCAGGGTTTGCACTAAAAATAAGTTGCGGTTCCATAGCAGGCTTTTCGGGCAAATCGGGCATAAATAGATACTAAGACAGTCTCGCTTCTGGCTTCAAACCTTCTTGATGGCCCCCGGACAATGCGGCGTTCAGAGAACGATACTATTCTCGAGTACTCACTTGTACGTCTTTCTGCCTGGGTTGCGTTTACTCAGATGTCAAGACCCTAAGATGGTAGAAACCAGTCTGGATCGGAGAGATGATCCGAGCAAAAGAACACACGGTGAGCAACGTTCAGTCAGACCAAGACTGGATTACGAGATGGGATCCGGCGGATGAACTTAAATAAGTACGGCGGATGCCTTGCGCGGCCGTGATGCATTGATGATGCTACCGTTCTTACACACATGGTAACAGCGATCAAGCTGACGCGGCCCGTCTGTGGGCCAGCGCAGATACAGCGGCTATGCAGGGAGCGAGATCCTCTCTCGCCGTGTGCGGCCCTGACGAGAGTTATACGGCACCGGTTACAAGTAGGCTGAGAGGGCCAAGTGAGCCAAGATTGAGAGTCTCTCGGGACAAGATCAATAAGCAGTCGAAATAGGGCGCAATCCAAACACAGCCAAACTGCTTTCCGCTTCGGTGATCCCGCTGAATCCCTCCACACTCCTTCCATCACTCATACCCACCCATGTCGTCCTTTTTCAAGCGCCACCCAGCCGCGGGTGGTAGCGACGACCACGACCACGACTCCGACGATGAAGAAAACATAGACCCCGAGCTTCGCCTGCGCACCGTCCGCACAGCCCATTCGGCAATTGCAGAGAGTATCGTGGCTGATGCTCGCCAAGTCCGCCGGCGGAGGAGATTCTTCAGGCTGCGAGGGGAGAAGGACAGAGAACGGAAGTTTGAGGAGGGGAAGCCCAAGCCGAATGGAAGGCGCCGGAATATATATGTCAACACACCGCTACCGCGAGGAGAGTTGGACAGTAATGGCGACCCCACGGCGAGGTATCCGAGAAACAAAGTCAGGACTACCAGTGCGTTTGCCTCTCTCCGATGCAGCAGACCTCTCAGTTCTTACCTTTGCTCAGAGTACACTCTCGTCACCTTCGTCCCAAAGAATCTGACGGAGCAGTTCTCTCGAATCGCCAACATCTTCTTCCTTGTGCTCGTCATCGTACAACGTAAGTCTCCCATGCCCACTCTACGTCACTATAAGCTTCAGACGAACGGATATCACTGTCCGGACTTTGGCGCGCGTGTTTCGGGACATAGAACGCTAATCATCGCTGTCGACAGTGTTCCCCGTTTTTGGCGCTGCATCTGGTGCTATAGCCGTTCTCCCTCTCGCTTTCATTCTCACCGTCACCGCCATCAAGGATGGCATCGAAGACTACCGTCGGGGCCGTCTTGACGATGAAGTAAACAACTCCCCCACCACCCGTCTCCCCATCATGAATCCGAATCAGCCGCGGGACCCACGCTCCTTCTTCCAACGTCTCTTCGGCCTGAATAAGCCCGGCACCGTCAGTCGTGGTGTACGCAAGCTCCGCTCAGTTGAAGCTGCTTCTGCACCGTTTGGAAGTGAGAGCACGCTCAACGTGGATGCGCGCAGTGTGAATGGATACGGAGATACAGGCAGCACACACAGTACCGCACATTCTTATCCTCCCCCGCCGGTCCTGGACCCTAACATCCACCCTGGAGCAGCCCAATGGGAAAGGACATTGTGGAAGAAGCTGGAAGTCGGGGACGTGGTTCTCCTGAAGGACAACGAGCAGGTATGTTCCGCTTTCGGGCTCGTCTTCCCCGCGCTCTCTGCTGTCTTTTCGTTGCCCCTGACGCTCAAGCCCACAAATAGGTGCCTGCTGATATCATCGTGCTCGCAACCTCTGATCCAGATGGCAACTGTTACCTCGAGACCAAGGATCTGGACGGGGAGACCAATCTCAAGGTGTGTGCGCGAAACCTCATACCTTTTCGGAGTCTGATATCGAGGGGATCTGAAGCTGCGTAAAGCATTGACCGCTACTCGAGGCATGTCCAGCAACGAGGAAGATGTGCAGAGGATGCGGTTCATTCTTGACTCGGAACCCCCAAGCCAGAACCTCTACCTGTACAATGGCGTGCTGCGCTACCGTGACTTTACTTCGGCCCAGTTGGTGAACGTGCGTTCTCATGCAGACATTTCTAGCGATAGTAATTAACATCTCCGGGATCAGGGACAGCTTGGGCAAGGTGTGTTTACACCTGCTCATGTCGTGAACTTGACTCTGACGCATTTTACTTAGGCAACAAGACACCTGAAGAGCGAACGGAACCTGTCAGCATCAATGAATTGCTTCTTAGAGGCTGCTCTTTGCGGAACACCGCATGGGTCGTTGGACTGGTCGCGTTCACCGGATCTGACACTAAGATCATGCTGAATGGTGGTGATACTCCGAGCAAACGTAGCAAAGTAAGTTTAGCTCGGGATGCGATGTGGCGTAGCTGATCTACTCCCGAACAGATTGAGCGGGAAACCAACTTCAATGTGGCTGTCAATTTCGGAGTGTTGCTGATCATGTGTGTTGTAGCCGCGATCATCAGCGGCGCTCAGGATGCCCAAACTGATACCTCTAAATTCTTCTATGAGGCTGGGTCTGATCCGACGAACCTCTACGTGCTGAATGCACTGGTCACTTTTGTGTTCGTCGAATCCTTTGGGTAACTCGCTACACTCTTGACCGGTTGGACAGGTCCTGCATCATCGCATTCCAGAATATCGTTCCCATCTCGCTCTATATCTCGATCGAAATCGTCAAGACTATCCAAGCGTACTTCATCTCACAGGATGTGGACATGTATTACGCTGGATACGACACTCCCTGTGTTCCAAAGACGTGGAACATCAGTGACGACTTGGGACAGATCGAGTGAGCAGCGAGTCTAATCGTTTATTGAGTAAAATACTGACATGCCCAGATACGTTTTCTCGGACAAGACGGGCACCTTGACGCAGAACGTGATGGAATTCCAGAAATGTTCTGTGAATGGGATCGCATATGGAGAGGGTGTCACCGAGGCCCAGCGTGGGGCAGCCACACGAGCTGGCAACGCCGAGGCCATGGACCCCCAGGATCTCAGTGCTAAATTGGCTGGCCTCAAGCAGCAGATGGTGAATGTCATGCAGCGAGCATGGTCCAATCAGTATCTGCAAACGGAGAAGCTCACCCTCGTATCGCCTGTGCTCGCAACGTCGTTGGCGACTCCAGACTCACCGGAACGACCGCATCTCGTCGCATTCTTCCGCGCACTGGCCTTGTGTCACAGCGTGTTGGCCGAGAAACGGGGGGGAAGCACGAACGACGATAACAAGGAACCTATCCGCATTGAGTACAAGGCCGAAAGCCCCGACGAAGCAGCCCTCGTCGCCGCTGCCCGTGACGTCGGATTTGTCTTTGTCAACAAAGGTCGCGAACTGGTCGAATTGTCTGTGCTGGGTCAGACTGAGCGCTGGACGCTACTCCGTGTGCTGGAATTCAACTCGACGCGGAAGCGGATGAGCACGATCTACCGGGCGTCTGATGGTCGCATCATCATGTACTGCAAGGGCGCTGACAGCGTCATCTATTCCCGGCTTGCGGAAGACCACGAGCAAGGGCTGATGGAATCGACGCGGAGGGATATGGAGGCTTTCGCGAACGGTGGATTGCGGACGCTTTGCGTGGCCCAAAAAATCCTGACGGAGGACCAGTACATCAGCTGGAGCAAGAGTTACGACGAGGCAGCCAGCCGAACCGAGGGTCGAGACGATGCCATCGAGGCGGCCTGTGATCAGATCGAGCGAAACTTGACCATTCTCGGAGCTACGGCGCTGGAAGACAAACTGCAGGAAGGTGTTCCGGAGGCTATCGAGACACTGCACAATGCTGGGATCAAGCTGTGGATCTTGACTGGTGTGTGGCAATCGATCTCTCATTTGCTGAAAACTCATGTGCTCCAGGTGACAAACTGCAAACGGCCATCGAGATTGGATACAGCTGCAACTTGCTCAAGTCGGACATGGATCTCATGATTCTATCTGCAGGCTCTTTCCAGGAAGCGCGATCGCAGATCGAAGCTGCGCTGAACAAACTGTCGTCAGTTCTTGGCCCTCCTTCCTGGGATCCACGGAAGCGCGGATTCGTGCCTGGCGCCCAGGCGTCGTTTGCTGTCGTCATTGACGGCGATACCCTGGCCCACGCTCTGACACCCGAGCTGAAGGAGATGTTCCTGAACCTGGGCACGCAGTGTGAAACTGTGGTCTGCTGTCGAGTATCTCCCGCGCAGAAGGCTCTGACCGTCAAACTGGTGCGTACTGCGGATTTGCCTCGGCTCGCATTCTGACTGACACCTCGGCTGCAGGTCAAAGAAGGTCGGAACGCAATGACACTTTCTATCGGCGACGGTGCCAACGACGTGGCGATGATCCAGGAAGCGAACATCGGCTGCGGATTGTTCGGGCTTGAAGGCTCGCAGGCAGCGATGTCGGCGGATTACGCGTTCGGACAGTTCCGGTTCTTGACGAAGCTGTTGCTTGTGCATGGCCGGTGGTCGTATCAGCGGATCGCGGACATGCATGCCAACTTTTTCTACAAGAATGTTATCTGGACGTTTGGGATGTTCTGGTTTTTGCCGTTCAACAGGTCGGTTGTCGCCGTTTGCTTTTCTGTGAGGCTAGAGCTGATTTCATCGGTACAGCTTCGATGCGACGTACCTGTATCATTACACATTCATTTTGTTGTGCAATCTCGTCTTCACGTCGCTCCCGGTCATCGTTCTCGGTGGTGCGTTTCTTCATTCTCTTGGACTTCGAGAGCACATGGCTGAAACTCCCTTTAGCTTTCGACCAGGATATCAATGCGCGGGCTGCTTTGGCCTATCCACAGCTCTATGTCCGTGGCATTCGTGGTCTCGAGTACACCCGTGCCAAGTTCTGGATCTACATGTTTGACGGACTGTACCAGTCGACGGTGATCTATTTCGTGCCGTACCTGGTGTGGAGCTTGGGCTTGGCCGTGTCCTGGAATGGGCGAGACATTGATTCGTTGACGGACTTTGGAACGACGAGCGCCGTGTCAGCCATCATGGCTGCGAATATATTTGTCGGCCTCAACACCCACTAGTGAGTGACAGTGAACAGAAGACCATCAAGCATGCTGACGATCCCAAGCTGGACTGTACTGACCTGGCTTGTGGTCTTTGGCTCGACACTTGTGATGATGATCTGGATCGTGATCTTCTCGCTGTTTGTCAGCCAGAACTTCATCAACGAGTTCATCGTGTTGTTTGGCGAGTTGACTTTCTGGACGACAGTCGTGCTTGCGACGACCATTGCGCTCGGTACGCTCCCATGACATGATATTGCTCACTCGTATCTCACTAACCGACTGCAGCGCCGCGATTCATCTCTAAATACTACTCGACTGTCTACTCGCCCTTGGACAAGGACATTGTGCGGGAGATGTGGGTGATGGGTGATCTCAAAGATCGACTGGGCATCAAGCATCGCAATGGCAAAGATCGTCGAGGGATCTATCCGACTTCGCCACCGGATACGATGATCGAGCAAGAAGAGCCGCACGAGACGATTCCGATGTTTCCTGACAACGGCCACATCCGATCGACATCAGAATTGTCGCACCACCGGTACCAGCTGGCTCACAGCTCGAGTCCCGAGGCGACGCCGGCAATGGGTTACAGCGACCACACTCCACCGAGCGAGCCCGAGCCCGCGCAGTTCTTGTATGCGCCGCAGCCATCGTCGAGAGTGGACCATAGCAGTCCCCATGGGTCGTACTACTCCGCATCCGAGATCCCACCCCCATCTCCACAGCCTTCCCCAAGTTACCGACTACCGAATGGGGAGTTGACGTCGACACCGCCGAGTCGCAGAACGAGTATCGCGACGACGTTGCGATCGCGGCAGGTGCCACCCTCACCATCATCACAGACGCTGTCGCCGCCGGCGAGCCAGCAGCACTTCGAGATGATGGCGGTCAGGAGCCCACCGTCAGCATATGCTCGACCGCCGAGTTCGACAGGTCACGGGGGCGGCGGCGGACATTCTATGCGCAGTGCGAGTCAGGCGAGCTACGTGAGCTATGCAACTGCGATGGAAGGTTCCGAGGACGACGAACCCGGGGACGTTTATGGTGGACTGGACGTGCCGCCGGATCCGAAGCGGGTCAGTAACACGTCATGGGATGGTGGACGGGCTATGTGATGATGATTGTACGTACGTAGACTTGATTTGTAGCATGGAGGGGACTGACTATTTATTTGCTTATCACTATCACTGCAATCCATGTAAAGTGCAATCATCTGAACGAACATATCTGTCGGTTAGATATTGGACGACATTCCGTAAGGATTTGGCCCAGGCCAAACCCCATATATAGATAAAATATGACGCAATTGATGTGATGTGAATCAAGGCTGTGCTCAAATCACAAACGCTCCACAGGCCAAATCAGCATGATTTGGCCTGGTTTGGCCGAGGGTCTTGAGCCTCGGCCAAATCCAAAAAAGGCATTTCCATCAGGCCAAATCGTTGCCGACAATCGACGCTTCTCTCTCGCCGCATTGCACGACATGTAAGTATTGCTCTCTCTTCCTAAGCTCTCAAAATGGCCGGCAAGCAACACTCAACACGTTCTAGCCAAGCTTCTCAACCCTCTCCATCTAATTATGTGCTATTTTGACGGCGCCGGGGTCCGGCACCTACAGCACCATCCGCTTTGCGTGAGCATGGCATAAACCCCTGCAATTCCCAAGGCCAACTCTTCCTCCTTCTCCTCATCCTTCTTCCTCCCATTCTTGAAGTAATTGGTGTGCTCTCGAGGCCATGGTAGCATGTAGAAAGTAGAGATGTACATTATCAATTATCTATCATATCTGATCCGGCTGGCCTCGATTTCGTCTCCGGTTTCACAGTGAGGCCAAATGTCACGTTACCATTACGTCATTTCTGATTTGGCCCGGGCCAAATCCTTACGGAATGTCGTCCATTAGCGTGCATGTTTTTGAGTATACTACGAATAGGACGCCGAGATCGCCTTCTGCTCCAGTCAAATTATTGCTGGGGTGCGCACTGATTCATGCAAACACTGGCTTCTGGAACCATTTCCACTCGAATGGAAGGATTGATCGAGAACAGAGCAGAGGAATTGTGAGACTCTCAGAACAAGTTTGGGAGAGAGAAATAACCTTCCTCGATGTGCTATCATGGGGAGAAGCACGCCAGGAATGGATAGGGGTGTTTGGATGGACGTAACACAGTGTAAGTATATTGGGTCTGCCCAATGCTGGGCTGAGCAGAGCTATTCATGATTATCCACACCAAATCCCCTAAACGATTGTTTGAGATGATAATTCAAAGGAAAAATAATCTAGTTTTATTATCTCTGAGTGCTCTTTTAAATTCTTCTAAGATTAGCTCCCGAAACACACTAAAATCGGAGTCAGTTCCAGAAGGACCCCTGAAATTGGACTGGGGCAACAACATATCTGGCCTTCTTAATTCACAGCCTATACACTGCCATGTATGGCCAGGAGCCCTATGTGCTGGGATATACCCGCACTACTTTCCAGCCTTGTGTTCACCATCTATGGTCATACGAAGGGGGAGTGTTTATAGCCAAATTGGTTCCTTCCTGTGTTTGAGGGATTTCCACATTTGGTCTCAACAGGCACAAGAAATGGCAGGCTCAAATTCTGGGACGCAGTCAATTGGAGGCTGGTTTAGAGTGCTACAGCAGATCCGGTCTTGGTTAGAACCACATTGTGTTCGACTTTGTGCCTGTCTGACATCAAAGCTTGAGATGCGGAACTTGCCCCCCCAGGACCTCGTTGTTCGATATCCTGCAGGACTTCGAATGACACACTGATAGAGGATGCTCCCTCTGATCCACCGAGTAAGTTCTGATGAGCGGTGCGTGTGTCTCATGTGCAAGAAGTCTTGATCGTGGGTCCGCCGCTGTCGAGACCCGACCGGCATCGCCCGGATCTAGCGGTACAGCATTAAGCGCCCCAAAGGAGTCCCTGGACGTCGTTCGGACAATTGGTAGGCCCATACTCGGCATCTGAATGGAACTTGATGAATATAATGACGGGCTCCGAGTCCGAGGCACTTTGAAATGCAATCCATGATGATCAAACCCAGAGCGGACATAAAAATGAATAAATAGCCTCGGGAGCCTGATTCCCATGTCGTAGATCCTCCGTGTCCCAAACTGGGGTCGAAGCGGCTTGGCCAATAATGGTAGATCCACGGAAGGTATTGCCTGCGCGCGATCACGCGTCCACACATGTAATCGATACTACGTGTCGGCATCTGCTCTGCCCTCCCGCCCTACGCGCTCGTTGTCCCCTACAGCGAACGAGGCTCTGTAAATGCTCAGCAAGTGGTGCCTGGCACGTGCCGTCGTCATCCAGTGATATTTGTGTATGTTGACTACTTCGTCTTGCTGACTCTTTCTGCTTTTGCCTTGTGCCCCCGACCGCGCCAAGGTACCAACCCGACAGTCCGTTCCCATCTTCCCGCACATCCTCATCACTACTCCGCCACCATCCATCCCACTACAATCTCCCACTACCGCTCTCCCTTCTGCGTCGTGCCCCCGGTTTTACGAGAACCCTAACCCCATCAAGTCACCACGAGGCCTTCCTACATAGCTTGCCTGCCTACCGTCTTCCCGGCCAGACAGCAGACGGACAGAGCACCGGCAGTTTCCCGGTACACAGAGATCCGTACTATACCTTGAGTGGCCATGTCGCCACGAACCGTAGCCAAGACGAGTCCTTCCTCCATCGCAACGCCGCCCCATCCCTCCACTCCCATACCTCCACGACTGAAACAAGTAGACCCTCTGGCCGCTAGTCCGAGCCCGCGACGGAGTGCCCGCTTTGCCGCGCCGACGTACCCGGTTGCCTCGACCTCCCGTCTCCCACCCGTCTCCCCCGTCCCCGGACACATCACCGCACAGGCGAAGCTGAAGCGCCGAAAGAACACTCCACGCGGCAAACGCAATTCGTCGGACCTCGATGCAACGGAGGAAAGCGACGCTGGGGCGGGGAAGACGAAGAAGAGGAAGAGCCCGGACCTCGTGCATGAGGATGACGTTATCTACAAACGGTTGAAAGGAAGGAGCGATAAGTGCGTGGTAGAGGTGAGTTCGCTTTCATGCTGTCCTTTCATGTCCTTTGGTGCCTTGGTCCAGACTGCGCTCTGTCAACGCGCGCTTATCTAACTTGTCATGACTGTTGTTTCGAATGCATGGTGCTGTGAATCCTACCACACGTTCCGTGATCTATTCTGTCGGACCATCCTCTTTCTGAATTACCCGGGTGTCTTGTATACTAACTACGTCATCAGCGTCCGTCGATCATCGCCTCGGTGAAAGGCAAGGGCAAAGCACCTTCTCCCACATCAAGCAACACATCTCGGTCTGATAATGAAGAATCCTTGTCCTCGGGCGCTATTCCTTCGTACGTCCTGTGGTATTTGTAGTGCAGATCGCTCATCTGTTCTTCCAGACGCAACACCCGCAGCCACACACGCACATTGTCTTGGAAGGGCAACCCTCCGTCGATGAGGACCCGCACCATGGCAGCACAACAGCAGTTCGAGTCGATCAGGGTGACGCGACAATCCACCAAGATCAATCCGTCACTTTTCTATGTTGGTGGAATGGTAAGATTTCTGCTGTGGGGGGGGAATCAATCTTATTCGTTCAATCTTTCCGTTTAACAGCCCAGTACGTCGACGCCTTCGACAGCCCGCTCGAAGATGAGATTGCGACTTCCGGCATTGCAACCTGTATCGTCGTCAGCTCAGCATAATTCGTCCTCGGCGCCTACATCTCCTGTCACCGCCAATGCCAATCCACTGACGCTGCGTAGTCCATCGATGTCAGCGCGAGGAACAAGTCCTGCTCCCGCACGACTAGATGAGATCGATATGGGGGTGCCGTTGTCTCCTAATCCCAAAGAAGACGGAGGAAAGAGCAAGCCCAAGTGTCGCGAAAGTCCCATGCAAGACTCATCGCCCTTGAGCTCCCCTGTCCGAGAACGAGGCTCGGCCTGGGGTGAAGATGCGAACGTTAAGACGGAGCCGGTGGAGGTCGATGTACTCGTTTTACCACCTGCTGGTTTGAGCGAGGGGGACATCGAGATGCCATTGGGTGTGTAAATTTCTAACCTTGCCTCGTGGAAGCTGACAACAAGTATCACAGCTGATTCGAGCGCAGACCCGGTGCCAGTCGACATGCCAGCTCCCAGTCCTGCAGCCATGGATACCCGGTCAGACGAGGAGAGCGTTGACACTGATACGAACAATGTAACTTCCACCGTCGAGTCGAGTGATGTCACGCCGCCGGCCACCGCACCGATTCAGATTCCGCAGTTGACGACACCGGTGAACTCGGGCCCGCGTTCGCTGTCGCCGGATGAGCTGGCGCCCTCGCCCTTTGCCCCGTCACCGATGGCCGCGTCCTATAGCGAATCAAGTGGGGGGAATAGCAGCAATGCCAACAGTCCAGAAATGGACTCAGCGTTGTTGGCATTCGAACTAGCTTCGAGTCACACGAAGTCCGTCCCCAGGCCTGCTGTGTGGTCGGATTGGCCCTCGCCGCGCTACACGTCACCCGCAGCGCTTGCACCTTATCTGTTCGATCTGCCGCTCCATGAAATAAGTCAATCGCAGACGGTGTCGCTCTCGTATGAGTGGACTTCGCTGCTGAATCGGCGGCAGAAGGCAGGGCAGCGTGCGATGATGGATGCTGCTAGGGAAGCTGAAGAGGCTGCGATCAGGCTCAAATTGCGAGCAGCCTCTCAGGAGATGGACGTTGATCGGGAGGGAGATGGACATGACATCGACGCGGAGGGCGAAATCGATTGTTCGATGCTCCCCCAGCATCAAGAGCAACAGCAGCCGCAACAGCAGTTCGGGTTCGGCGGAGGTCGCCGATCAAGTAGGCTTCGCGTGGTTACGTATGCCACTGCCGAACTGGAGCCTGAAGGCGAAACCCCGTCCGACTCCGAGAGCGTGGAGTCAGTTGTTCCATCGCAGATGATGGGGTACGCCCCACAAGGGCCACCAGAAGATCTGGGTCCCGACCCAAATATGCGGTATAGCATGTCATGGGGACCCTGGAAGATCGCGTGCCGGGTAAGAGTGTGGGATATGTGAGTAGTTTGCTTGTCTCCGGGAGGAATCGTGCTGACGACCATGCTCACAGCCGCAATCGTTATTCCCCTGCGCTGATCAGGTCTCTGGTCGCTCAGGAAGCAGACGACTACTTCTCTGCTCGCGGTCTGCAACATCCAGATGCGCTGATGTTCATGGACGAAGAGTACTATGATTGGGAGCTGGAGAGTGCGAGCGATGCTGACGGGGAGGATGACCTTGACTTTGGAGACACCGCTTTTGCCATCGACACACCTGGGAAAGAAGATGGGTCTGGTGTTGGCGGAGTCTTGTCGTCCTTTTACGTTCCGCAAATACCGGGCTCGTTCCCACCGATGGCACCCTTCCCTCCTCCACCATTGGGCTCCATCCGGGTCCCGGCGCTCAGGCATCTATTCACGGACATTCCGATTCTGCCTGCGAACGGCACTTTCCAGGGTCAAACGCGGGGGACATCGATCGATGTAACGCGCCGGGCAGCATGGAGTGTATCACCTGGTCGAATGTTTGCGCTCGATCCGACGGACGGTGCGAACGACAGCGGACGGGGCATACTTGTAAAAAGGGAGGGGCATCCGAAGCCGAAGCCTCACCCGCTGACTCTTGCGATGGCGGAGAGAAGTACCATGCAGCAAGAACTGCCGCCAGATTTGCAGACCCCATTACAGCCGCCATTCCAGCCTCCGCTGCTGCCCTCTCTGCCACCACAATTGCAGCAA